TGAGGAAAGGAGGAAACCAGATTCATTTTACAACCATGTTAACCACTGCAGTGATTCACTTAACAACGGTGGCGAGAAAATTTGTAAAATAAGGCAAATTTCACTTAACAACTGTCTCACTTAGCAAGAGAAATTTTGTGGTCATAAGTACGTGAGATTTTATTGCGAGGCTACTTATAAAGATGGAGTAACTGCAGCTGTAAATACGTCAGAAAAACCTCATATGAACATCCACTTGGAGTCTTAACTGCCACAGTGGAAAGAAATCAAGTTCTTTACCAGCTATGCATGCGCAACACTCTATAATGCATGGACCATAATGTATATAATAATTGTATTTGTATTGTATTGTATTTATTTGTTTTGTATGCCGCCCACTCCCGAAGGACTCCGGGCAGCTCACAATAGACAAGGGCAGGGGGAAAACTAGACAAAGACAACACTTTAAAAACAAAACCGCAACATTCACAATTTCCGCGGGGCATGCATTTGCATTGCATGCATTTGTGGGAATGCACCTCTAATTGGTTCTTATCTACAGAAACAAATAACACTGTTGCATCTGAGAACCCTTTTCTAATTCTTCCATTAACTTAATCATTTAACCGCATTTATAGATAGGCAGGAAAAAATATAATTTTTGGCTTTCCATTGCTCCAAAATGCATTTTCTTTCATCCAAGCAGCAAGTGGTTTTATTTTCAGTTGTACATAACTTCTAATGCTTCAAGATGTTTTGATAGAACAAATTGTGAGTCAGTTGCCCATCTCTTGCTTCTAGGAAGTTTACCCACCAAACTGATGCAAACTCTTTCTTCTCAGGTGCCTCCCGATCCTCTGTCGTCCGATGCAAGCCGGGAGCCAACTGCCCCAGCACGCAGACTGGCCTCCGCAGGCAGCATTCCCCTTTATCCGCTGCTGAAGATTCTGCTGCTCCCATTCTAGAGCTGCAGAGTCGGAGTCCTTCTGGATTTTGCCGGCACGGCAGAGGAGAGAGGCAGGACAGATCAGGTAGGCTTACAATAGACTTGCTCTGACCTAGGCTTCCCCAGAAAGTACGAAGCAGATTCCTGGTCCCAACAAAAACCCCTTTTATTAAACTAATGTTAATTCCTCTCATTCACATTCACAAAGGCTTGGTAAACAGTCTTTCAAAGGTGAAGTTATGACCACAGACCTTATCTAGCTTGGAAGGCTGCTATGTAAATATTTTCCTAATGCAGTGTTGCTCAAGGACAAACTTGGCACAGAGTCTCTGAGATTCATGGACAGATCTTTACACTCCTGAAATGAATGAACAAATTGTTTCCTGCAAAAGCCCATTCCCTTTTTGCTTCTCTTTTATTTCCTATGGGAGGGGCCATTCACTGTCTACCTGTGGCTTTACTCCCAAATCAACCCTGTATCCTCTGCGCATGTGCACTCTGGGATCAGGTTCCAGTTGTTCCTCTGGCTCACTGCTGTTTAGCTCCGAAGGCAGCTGAGAACTGCTAGATGGCCTTGGCCCCATCTCTGCCTCCGATGCAGAGCCCTCATCTGAGCCTTCCCCAGCCTCCAGGATTGGCCCATGCTCCTCCCCAACCTCCTCACTGTCCGACTCTGCTGCCAGCTCTGCTGGCTACTGGCAGGCCACAACAGGTATCCCAGTAAAAGAGCCACAATTTATTTTTCC